TAAACTGTGAGGGGAATCAATAGCTGGTTCTCCCTATAAAGTACTACATGAGTGTTTTAATTCATAAGTAGCAATACCCAACTTTGGCTTTATCTAATTTATATCTCCTAATAATTTTAAAAGTCATTTAGAGTTTTGAGATGGTCTTGGTGAATCTGTAGCTGTTGTGACTTTATTGTCCTGTTGGTCACTAGTGTTCCCACATAATAATAAGGCTGGACAGCTGTACCTTGTCTGGAGCAGTGCAGAGACCAAAAGATATTAAATCTCTTTTTGCTTCTGTAAATAAATCATATAATTGTTCTTTAATTAGAGCTGACAACATGATATTGTCCGTATGGACCAATAGACCACATATGAGGAAAGATAAATGTGTCTAACTTTCTGTAAGTCTTGCTGTGCAAAAAGCTGACACAGGTTATATTGGTTCGCATTCCTTGAGGTAATGTGACCCATTGGTGCCATTGCATTGGTTCTTTCAAATTTGAACTAGGTACAGAAAACACAAAATGTCACCTATCTGCAGGAAAAAGGGGGATATTAAAAAAGCAATCTTTTGAATCAGCTGTGATGAGATTTCCTGGCAACTTTTAAATCCTGTAACATCCTCCATTTGCCTGACTTTTTGGAATGGCAAAGACAGGAGTATTCCAAGGACTAACTGAGCTTTCTTAATGTCCTACCTGTAATTGCTCTTCAACTAAATTGTGTAATTGAGTTAGCTTCTCCTTTTTAAGGGGCCATTGATCTGCCCAACAGGCTCCTTGGTTTTCCATTGTAAAGGCAGAACTGTTGTGGGGGAGAAGCATCAATGGCCCTTGTCAAAAAATCCTGCCAATGCCCGGTGCCCGGTGCCCGATGCCCTGCCATCTTTAGGTGTAGCCTTTTTTTTTTTTTTTTTTTGTCTTTTTCCTTTTTATCGGTACCAGGGATCGAACTCACGACTGCCTGCTTGCAAGGCAGGTGCTTATGCTGCTGAGCTAAATCCCCAGCCCCCTTTAGCTGTAATCTTAACAGGCTCTTTGATTTTTTTCTAGTCTCTTGTTATTTTGATATCCCATCTTAACCATTATTTGTTTAACTTTAGGATCTGATTTTATTTGTTTAGTTTCCATGTTGAAGCTTGTTTGTTTAGTTTTAAAATCAGAATCATGGGCTGGGAATGTAGCTCAGGGGTGCAGCACCTGCCTGGCAAGTGCAAGGTCCTGAATTCAATTTCCAGTACAAAAAAAAAAAAAGAGTGAAAGAGGTAAATTTTGAGCTGGAAATTAAAATAACCATATAAAAACTGATAACCGGGTATTCAGTGATTTCTTTATAAAGGTATTAAATTTTAAGGGGTGGGGAGTTTAGCTCAGTGGCATAAATAACTGCTTGGCAAATGCAAAGTCTTGAATTTGGTACCAATAAAAAAAAAAAACCAAAAAAACAAAAACAAAAACAAAAGTAATCACTAGCCATCATTAATTTCAATTTTTGTAACAAATCTCTTTCCCACAAGTTAACTGGAACATGTGCCACATAAGAAACACTTTTGTTGGTCGGGGTGAGACAGTTGTAACACATGCTGAGGGCCCCAGCCCGGTAAGAGATGTAGGGCCCTTGTGTTGGCCACATGGTAGGTCAGGTTCTAATGCAGTTACAGATACAGCTGCACCGGTGTCTGTTAGACCTTCAAAACAATCTCTATTAATCTTTATAAAGCATATAGGCCTGGTTTTAGTTACTTCCTGTGTAAAATAATCTGTCTTTTTGGGTCTTACTCCTTCTTGTGTTCTCTATATTTTAAAAAGAAATGCTTATCTATAGGTAATAAAATAATTGCACCACTTAATCTCCCTATTCAAAAGCCCAGAGATCCACAGCACACGTGAGAACTTGTATCTCATCTCTTCAACCACCTCAGGCTCAATAGTTGTTCCTTTTAGATTCAGACCAGCCTTTCCCAGCACAAGGCCAACTGTTCCTTCAGGTGGGGGACCTCAAATTCCTGGGGAAATTGGGGTAGGCTGGCCACCTCCAGTGAGAGTGACTGCAAGCTGCAGGAAGACCTAAACCTGCACTTTGCATTGTTCCCCTGGTGAATGAGTTAATATCTCTCCAGGAAGCCACCTTTGATGCTGTTCTTGAATTTGCTCACGAGTTTGCCCTGGGTAAAGCTGACTGACATTTTGACTCAGGCTGTGCCTCCTCTGTTGTTCTGCCAGTCTGAGGAAATGGCCCTCATCTCCTTTTTTTTTTTTTGCAAAGGTGTACCACCCTCATGGAATTTAGAATGACAATATCTGGTCCAATGCTTCCCTTTTTTGGCATCTTGGAGAGGGACCAGGTGCAGGACCTCCATACCAGAGGCACTGCTTTGTTAACTCACTGTAGCTGTAGGTCTGTTCTATTAGATCTGGTAAGAGCTCTGCAGTTTTTTTTTTTTTAAATGTACCCATTTTCCCACAGTTAAAACACTTTACTACTCCCTTTGGTGTTTGCAATACCAGCTATAACTTGAGCCATCCTAGTTGCTTTGTATAACTCAGTTCAATGTTTTGACAAGCTCGAATATATGTTGTTAAATCATTAGTTGACTTTACAGGATTTAAAGCCTGTTTACAGTCCTAATTGGCATTTTTGCATGCTAATTGTAGAGTTAAAGTGTTCACAGCTTTTGTGTTTGAAACCTGTCTGTGAACAGCTTCTTGTAATTTAGCCACGAATTGGGTAAAGGGTTCTTGCAGAACACTTAAAAAGGATTGTACAGGAACCCCATCCTCTGAAATAGTTGTCCATGCTTTTTTTTTTTTTTTACTAGATCTTCCAATTGTGGAAATAGCTCTTCAGGACATTGAATCTGTTTCTCAAATGGTGCATGTGTTCCTGTCCCAGAAAGCGTTTCCTCATTTATTGCTGAACGTGGGTTGGGACCCATCCTGTTTTTATGAGCCTGCTCTGAAACGAGTTTTTAGCTTTACATCAAAATGAAGGAATTGAGCAGGAGACAGGCATGTTTGTGCCAGATGTTTGATATAAGGTGTCAACTGATACATATTCAAAACATTTTGTAAGAGTCCCACAGTGGCTGGGGATTTAGCTCAGTGGCATAAGCTCCTGCTTTGCAAGTGTGTGGTCCTGAATTTGATCCCTAGTACCAAAAAAAATTATACTTTGGACTCTGTTGTTAACCACGCTTTGTTTAAGATTTTTTAGCAGTTGTAGTTCAAAAGGCGTGGGAACAAAACACTCATGGTCACTAGTATCTCTTTGAACTCCAACTGGGAAGCAAGCAGGGGTACCAATGTTCCCCCCTTTCATGGCTGCTTCCCTTCTTAAAACCCACAAGTTTCTGGATAGAGCCCTATGGGATATTCTTTGTAAAGGCTTTGGCTCCCTTTGAAGTAACTTCCCTAACAACTCTATTTTGGCAGTAGGCACCCCAGCTGGAATCAGGAGCTGTTGACTGTGAGCTCTGTTATGGCCTCAAAACTGAACAAACCAGGTTCCAAGTTGAGAAGGTCTCAGGGGAAATGATTTGTCCTGCCCTGTGTGCCTTTTTAAGATTCTTTCCAACTCTTTCCCAATTATCAATATCTATAGTGCCTGTCTGAGGAAACCATGGATTATATTTGGTTACCACTTTTAACATTTTTGCTAGGTCTTTCTTTGGCACACAAGCCCTGAGCATTTAAGCAGGCTTTAGAGCAGCTGTAAGCACCTTTGCTCCTCGGCTGAGAACCTCTACCCCATTTTCATTCCTGGATAAAGCAGCTCATTCACAGAAGGAAGACTCACTCTTGTTTTGCCTCTCTTCTCTAGGTGTCCTGGTGAAGTTTCCATCCTGAGAAGGCCTTCTCTGTATCCAAACCTTTGCACTCTAGGTAGAATTACTCATTCAGGCTAAAATTCCTAGTCCAAGGATTTCAGGTCCCTGTTCAGGCACCAGTTATTGGAGGCCTAGCCTAATCCCCAGTCTCCCAAATGAGTGTACAGTCAAGGCTTAAATAAATGAGATAAGTGGTATGATTTTAGGGCTCCAGGAGGATCAAAGCCCTCTGCAGTGTATGAGACTCTGGTGGCTAAGACAAGGACTACCTCTGGGTGGCCCATATTTATTTAGTTTTCCAACAAGAAAGGGGTAGAGTGAGAAATGCAGGAAATTGAACAGATCTTGGGAGTGGTTCTAGGATTTTTCCAGATAACAGATTATGTTATTTTAGGAGGACTGTCCTATGTGAATTTTGGAGAAGTATCTTTGGAGAAGATTACCATTGCATTTCACTGCTGGAGTGAAACGCTTGTAGCTACAGTCTTTATTTAGTTAATTGAAGTGGGAGCCAGGTGTCCTCAGCTGTGACCTTATCTTGCCCTTTGAGGTGTCTCTTTGTTTTTGGGTCAGCCATGCCCTAGCCATGCTGCACCTTTGCATCTGTGTTCAATTTCCAGGTTCAACAGCTCCAACAGAGGGGCATTGGATTTTGAAGCACTGAAGAACCGACTCTGAGACCCCAACACTTCATACTCTTTGATCTGAGGGTGCTAGGACTGGGGCAATGTGTTCCCCTAATACACATGAGGAACAGAGCAATACATGTGGGCGCCTGGCACTGGGCTGGGAGTGGAGGAGCAGGGCATTCTGAGCACCAAGCTTTCTGTATCAGGAAGAGCGGGCAGCTGGAGAGCGGCTCTCTCTGCTCTCAGCAGTGCAAGGGTTTAGACTCTTCTCTGCAGGTATCTGGAGGCTCACCTGGTCTTCACCTACAGGGCCTCACCAGGAGCCAGATATATATGGAGCTTTGGGATGGGAGTGAGATAACCCTTCACCTCCACCTGGCCTCACTGGCCCTGTGCCCTCAGCAGGACCCCAGGAGCTGCAGGGCCTGCCCCGTGTGGCCTCAGCCCTGGGAGCCCACCCAGCCTGACCCAGAGCCTGCAGGATACCAGGTGCAGGTCCTCCCTGGTTCAGTGGCTCTGGGGGCCAGCCAGCAGGGGTGGAGCTCTGGCCAGCATCTCAGTGCCAGCAGGGTAGGGGCGGAGCTCTGGGGGACAGGGTTTTAAAGGCTCCCCAAGGAGGTTGCTCAGCAAGCAGCTCATCACCTGCCTGGCCCTGGACACCACTGTGACCATGTGGCTCCTGGTTCTGTGCCTCTTCCTGTTCCCAGGGAAGACTGGTGAGAGCTTGGGAGGGGTCTGGGAGGGCATGGAGACCCCAGCCCTGAGGGCACTCTCCCTGCCATGAGTCCTTCCTTTATGCCCAGCCCCTGGCCTCCCCGACATGAGTCCTTCCCTTCTGCCAAGCACCCAGCTTCATTCCCCCCAACCCACAGACCACTAAGACCAGGATGCCGGGCTCTCTCCTTTCTCTCCCAGGCTTCCCATGGTCAAAGCTCTCTTGGCTCACCTTCCCACCCTAGGGTGCTCCTCCTTCCTCCTCCCCAGCCAGTACCAAAGGGAGCAATCCTGGGCCATCTGTGTCTCTCAGGCCCTGAGACCCTGATCATCTCCTCTCACTCTCTATGCCTCCAGGCCCAAGAGCCTGGCTCCTGACACCCCAGTTCCCACCATACCCAGTGGCTTTCTCTGTCCAGCTGCCAGCTCTTAGCTGTGTCCTCCAGACACTGACATCTGCTCCCCACCATCCTGCCAAATCCCCCACGGATGACCCTGCTTCCCAAACTAAGGGGTGTGTGACACCAGATAGACCATCTATCTCCCCCAAAAGCCCACACAGCAAGCCAGTCCTCCCCACCAGCCACAGGCTCCTCGCCATATAGAATTTCATCCCCTGCTGGACCCCCAGATCTCAGCCAGGCCGTCCTGCCCCACACTCCCCTAAGAACACAGTATGTGACTTTGACACCCTGTGTCCGGCTGGACTCCTGCTCCATCTCCATAGCGACTGGGCCTCTGTAACCTTTGTTCCTTGCCTGTCCTGGGCTTGGCTCCAAGAGGACCCTTAGCCCCTCCTGCATGCTCACCCATGAACCCCAACCTCAAGAGCAGGTGAGCTGCTCCCTCATCCTAACCCAGTGTCTGTCACTTACCCCACCTCTGGGAGCACTGGCCCAGCCCTGCCCCAACATGCCCTTCCCCACACACTGCACAGGAAGGACCCTGAAACCACCCGAAGCCCACTCCTGGCCTTTATCCTGCTCCTTGCCTTACCTTTTGACCCAGAAACCCTGAATTCTCTCAGGGTAGCTCCTCCTCCTAGCCCAACCCAGGAACCCCAAATCACCTTGAGGTCTTCTGCCCAGAAAAGCTGATTCTCTCAGAAGCACCCTTTCCCAAAGCTCAGTCCAGGCCCTATTTCCCTAGCCTAGGAGCCCCCAAATACTGCAAATTCCCCCTGCCAGCCCCGACCTTCTCTCACATGGCCCTCATCCTGATTTTGGGAGCTCTCTTCTCCCCAAACACTCTGCCTGCCAGCCCTCAGTCTGAGGCTCCAACGACCTGACCCCTGACCGCCACACCTGGTGCTGTTTGCAGTCTTCTGCTTCCTGTGGATTCCCTGGTCTGAGCTCAGCTCAAGAATTTAAATCTCCCCACCCAGGACCAGCTATTAACTCAGTCTCAGGACAGCTTCTGCACTTGGGTACCTACCCTGAGCCCCTTGCCCTGTCCTCAGTGCAGGAGCCATGGACCTCAGCCTCCCTCTCCAAGCCCAGGCTCTCAGCTCTCAGCCCTCAGCCCTCCTCACCCTGCTCACCATCCTGCAGGTGCGGCACCGCCCATCCAGTCCCGGGTGATAGGAGGCCAGGAGTGTGCAAGGGACTCCCACCCCTGGCAGGCTGCTGTGTACTACTACAGTGACATCAAGTGTGGGGGCGTCCTGGTGGACCCCCAGTGGGTGCTCACGGCTGCCCATTGCATCAACGAGTGAGTAGGGGCAGGGTCTGAGGAAGAGGGCATGAGTGCCCCAAGGACTGACTAGCCAGCACCATTCTGGGTGACCCGGGCAAGGCCAGGCATTGAGGGGGAGGTGGGGGCTGCTGTCCAGGGTGGTGGTGAGAGGGACAGAGCTGTATCCGGACCACCAGGGCTTAGGGTGCCTAGGTCTTGCTCTCTGTTTCTCTGTCTCCCTCTTTCCTCCCACCTAGTGTCTCTGAGTCTCCCCCATCTCCCATCTCTGTCAATGTCTGGGTGTCTCTGAGGTGTCTCCGTCATTCTGTGTCCCCCACCCAAGTCTCTGTGTCTCTCTCCAGGTCCCCATCTCAGTCCCCTCCCCATCACTGCTCACCACACCCGAGGATGGGCTCCAGGGGGTCCCCAGAGCAGAGGAATGGGTGCACTCCAGCCTGTATGTGGGTGCTCCTTAGTGTGTCTGATCTCTTCCCGCAGAACCCCTGTCCAGGGTGGCTGACTCAGGAAAGTGTTTCTTACTGTGTCTCTGTCTGTCTCTGTCTCTGTCTGTCTCTCTTTCTGTCTCCCTCTCTTTCTCTCTCTCCCCACCCGACCCTCGTCCATGCCTCTCCCCCCACCCATCTCCCTTGTCCCCTCCTCTCTCCTCATCCCCTCCTTCTCCTTTTTACCCCAGCTCCAACCAGGTCTGGCTGGGCCGCCACAACTTGTTTGAGGATGAAGACACTGCTCAGCACTTCCTTGTCAGCCAGAGTGTCCCTCACCCGGATTTCAACATGAGCCTCTTGGAGCCGCATAATGTACTTCCAAATGAGGACTACAGCCATGACCTGATGCTGCTGCGTCTGAACCAGCCCGCCCAGATCACTGACTCTGTGCAGGTCATGCCGCTGCCCACTCAAGAAGTGCAAGTGGGGACCACGTGCCGGGCCTTGGGCTGGGGCAGCATAGACCCAGATCCTGCCCATCGTAAGTCTGGGCCAGACCATGTGGCCCAGGGCTACACCAGGGTCAGGCAGGGATGGGGTGAGGGAGCTGCTGGGTCTGGAAACAACCGTTTTTTACCCTGGCCTGCAGCTGTGTTCCCAGATGAGCTGCAGTGTGTGGGCCTCGAGATCCTGCCCAGCAAGAACTGTGACGATGCCCACATTGCAAATGTGACAGGCACCATGCTGTGCGCTGGGGACCTGGCCGGAGGCAAAGACACCTGTGTGGTGAGCCAGCCCCTCCACGTGGCTAAGCTGGCATCTGTGCCCCACCTTCTCCTTCCCTTTCCACCCTGCCCCTGCACCCCCTGGAGTCACCCCATCACTTCTGGTATCACCTGAGTGCTCAGAGAAAGCCTCCAGGTCCAGGGCTGCTGAGAGGAGCCCGAGGTGAGGGTCTGTAGCTGGCCCTGCTCCTTCCCGCTGCCCTGTCTGCAGATGGCCTTGTCACCCCTGGGTGTCCCTCCCCTCTGCCCAGGACTTGGGTCCTGTGCCCGAATCCACACCCGCCTTTTGGCAGTGAGCTCTGGTGTCCAAAGCCCAGGTAGAGAAAAGCCACAGTCTTCCTTCTAACTCCTCTCTCCTTGTGTCCCCCCAGGGTGACTCGGGGGGCCCACTGATCTGTGATGGCGTGCTGCAAGGCCTCACCTCATGGGGCGACAGCCCTTGTGGTGTCGCTCACTCCCCTACCCTCTACACCAAAGTGATAGAGTACCGCGAGTGGATAGAGAGAACCATGGCCGACAACCCCTGAATGGCCCATGCAGGCCCTGCTCCCAATAAAACCAGATATGCTGCCAATGAGTGTCAAGTTCTGGTGTTATCTGGCCTCCCACACACTGGGCACCTACATCCACTTGGGACCCACTGGGCCAAGGCTGGGCAGTCCTGGGGCTCCCGGTGATGCAGTTCCAATTCTGGACTGAAGCTGCAGCTCAGGACCACTCTGTCATGGTGTCCACTGACTTCAGTATTTGAAAGCTCAGACTGGGTGTGGAACTGAGTCTCCTTAAGTGTCACAGGAGGTGGGACCCAAGCCCTGTTCACAACATTGGTGCAGCTTCTCTCTCTCTGTCTCTCTGTCTCTCTGTCTCTCTCTCTCCTCTTGTGTGTCTCATCCTGCAGTGGTGTCTCAGCCTGTGTCTCTTCTCATATTCCCTTTCCCTCACTCCTTAATTCTTTGGCTTTTCCTTCTTTCTGATGCTTTTTCCTCTCTGCCAGTCTCTGGCATCCTGCTGTGCACAATGTCTGTGGAGGACCAACTGAATAATTCTTCTTGAAAAAAGAGCAGTTATCTCCGTCTTGGCTAAGCCTGGCCCTATTTCCACGTACAGAGCTGGCTAGGAGTTTCCCTTATCTCTTAAGTGGGCTCTAAGCAATGTAAATGTGCTGTCTGGACGAGGTGCTGATGTGGTCTTTGTATTGACTGCCAGTATTTCTCCACCCTCATAGCTTCCAAAACACATAGGCAGGAAGCTGGGCAGGAATGAGAGCCACACTCCACACTGTCAGCTGGGATTGAGCCTGGAGAAAGAGGCTATAACTTCCTGGGGCTTAAAAGATCACACATCACAGCTGAAGCACCAACCCCAGAACATTGAAAACTACCTCAAATTGTGTTATGCGGATTACTGTTTCTGCATACCCTTCTCTCTGCATATTGCAGAGGTGACTTCAGGTCTCCTAGCTAGCCCAGCTCACAGCACTCAAGGACTTCCCAACCTTCTCACATTCACTCATTCTCCAGCCACTCCTTTCTTCATGAACAAATAAAACCCAGCTTCAGCCCTGGGTCAAGGTCTTTGTTCCAGTGAACCATCATCTTGGCTAGTCTTAGGATCCCCTTGGCTTCCCATAAATATGTCGCAGGGTCTTTATTCTCACTGTGGGTAACATTGGAAGTGGTAAATTGAAATGAACTTATTGGAGTTCCAGTGTTAGAAATATAAACTCCCGGACTGAGATGAGGACCAAAAAGGACTCTCCATAGGCCTCTACCTCACTGGGTCTGATTCTTCCTCTGCTCCCTTCTGTAGCTGAGTCTCCTTCTCTCCCTTCTTCTCTTTGCCCTCACTGGTCAGAGATGGCTGCCATGTTCTCTACCACCCTTTCCCCCAGCTCGCCCTGTCCAGCCCCACACCTGTGTCATCCACTGCCCCAATTTTTGTGTCACAGCTCCTGCTCCCATAGGGTTGGAGTGAGCATCCTGTAGCGCAATTCATGCCTGCTCTGTGTCTGTTCAAAAAATTTGCCTCTCTGTAGATTGGGCTTTTTGTTTCTTTGTTAAGTTCTTTTGTTAAGTTCTTTATATAGTCTAGATATTAACCCACTTTCAGAAATGTAGCTGGCAATAATTTCTTCCATTCTTAGGCTGTTTCTTTTATCTGTCAGTTGTTTGCTTGGTTGTGCAGAAACTTTTGCATTTGATGCAATCCTGTTAGTTGAATGGAGCCATTAATTCTCACACTTTTGAAACTCACACTTTTGCATATTCAGGAAATTTTGCCTGTATCTATGACTTAAGTGTTCCTTTTTTGTGTTTTCTTTGAGCAGTGTCTTAGTTACTTTATACTGGTTGTTGAGACAAAATACCCGACATCGAAAATGAAGGAAAGAAAGGTTATTTTCTTACAGTTCTTGGAGATTTCAGTCCATACTCAGTTGGCTCCCCAAGGCAGGATAGCATGGTGGGCCAGCCATTCATGGCTGCAAACAGCAAAGAGAAAACTGGCAAGAGAGAGAGAGACACACACCTTCTTCCCGCCATTACGTCATATCCTGGCTCCTCCCCTAGTCGGCTGTAGCCGCCAATCCGAGCACTAGACAATGAACCAATCACAAATGCATAATTGCTTCGGGGCCACTGACAAAAACCAAGACAAGCAGTTTCAAAGTTTCAGGTTTTACACAGAGGCCTTTGATCCAATTTAAATTAATTTTTGTTACTCGGTAAGATATAGGGATCTGATTTTAATCTACAAGTGGGTATCCACTCTAGCCAGTATTGTTTGTTAAAGAAGCTATCTTTTCCTCACTGTCTATATTTGGTTCTGCAGTCTGGAATCAGATGGTTGTAGCTGCCTGTGTTTGTTCTGGTATCTTCTATTCTGTCCCATTGGTCTGGAGGTCCCTAACAGTGCCAGTATCATGGTGTTTTTGTGCCGATGGTCTGGTAGTATAATTTGAAATTGAGTGATGTCTCTTTTTGTTTAGGACTCCTTAGGTGGTTTTGGTTTTTTCTCTTTTCATATGAATTCTCCAGTCTTTAGAGAATGTTGGATGGCAATTTTGATGGGGATTGTGTTGAATCTTTACACACACACACACACACGTGTGTGTGTGTGTGTGTGTGTGTGTGTGCACATGAAGAAACATGAGAAAATAATGACCCCAGGTTCTCCCAACTCTACCAAACAGATCTAGAGGGCATTAGGGTAGATTAAAGCAAACATGAGTTAGCAGAGCTTTACAAATTGATTAACAAAGAACCAAAGAAATTTACTGAATTCAAAGAGGACGGAGCCCACAAATTCATGGAATTGTACAGAATGATCCATATAAATGTGGGAGAAGCAAAGAAAAATTAGAAGATATGACCAAAAGTGTTCAAAATATAAATGACAAATTTACTGAAGATATAGACTCCATACAAAGGTATTGGACAGAAATAAAAATGAAATGTTGTATAGAATTTATAAATGTAGAAAAGACCAATATGAAGACAGGGTTTCTGAAATTGAGGATTAAATGGTGAGTTTCAGTGATTTCTTCAGGGAATCCTTACAAATGATGAGAACAAGAAGTCACCTACCAGCTACTAGACAATGTGAGGAATAGAAATCTCAGGCTAATTGGAATTAAGAGAGAAACTAGAAGACAGTATGCATGGAATACAAACTTCGTTTACAGAAATCAAAGTGGAAAATATTCTAAGTATAAAGAAAGACCTCAACATACACATAGGTGAGGCTTACAGAACACTAGCCAAAAAAGCTTCCCGTGATGTCTTAGTCAAAACTCCAGGTGTCCCACCAAAAAAGAAAAAAAAAATAACAAGACATATAAGAGTAAAACCACTAATAGACTTCTAAACACAAACTTTAAAAGCCAGGAGTGCCTGAAGCGAAATATTTCAAACCCTAAAAGTAAACAACTTCCAATCCAGAGTAACATATATGTTAGAAAGTCTTTCAAAATCCATGGAGAAATAAGGACATTCCATGAAAGAGCAGATTAAGAGATACATGAACAACAAACCAGCAATCCAAAAAATATTCAAGAATATCTAAAATAGTGGCAACGAAGGCAAAAATACAGATGGAATGAATACATTATGTAAGGCAAATTGATAAATAAGCATAACAAAACCAAACAGTAAAGGAAAAAGGGAGTGAACAGAAAAAGAATACAATGTTGGGAATAAATCAACAGCCTCCAATAACATCTCTAAATGGTAATGGCCTCAACTGCCCAGACTGGCAGTCTGGATTAAGAAGTAGAAAGTGACAGTCTCTTGAAGTAAAGAAACTCATCTGGTTCAAAAAGATGAAAAGACGGAAACTAATATTTCACGCACCTGAACCCTGTTAACAAGCAGGAGTAGCAATTTTACTCTCAAAGTAAACTTCAAGATAAAGCTGATTAGAAGAGGCAAAGAATATCATTATGTACTAGTTAAAGAAATGATCCAAGGGCTGGGGATTTAGCTCAGTGGTTGTAAGTGCCTGCCTGGTAAGCATGAGGTCATGAGTTCAAGCCCCAGTATTAAAAAGAAAAAGAAGAAATGATTCAACAGGAAGAGAGAACACTTACATATATATATATATATATATATGCATTGAATACTGGAGCACCTATCTTCATAAAGAAAATGCTGGTATCCCCTCAGCTTCAAAAAGCAAATGTGAAATAATCATCAATATGATCATAGTGGTTGAGCTTAATACTCAGTTTTGCAAAGGGACAGAGCAACTAAAACAACAATAAAGAAATATCAGATCTGTGGCAGGGGTAGTGATACAGACCTGTAACCCTAGCATTTGAGAGGCTGAGGCAGGAGGATTCCTGCAAATTTGAGGCCAGCCTGGGCTGCATAGTGGCCAACATGAACTACATGGTGAGACCTGTCTCAAAACAAAGAAAAACCAACAACAAAAAAGAAATATCAGAGTTGAACCATGCCTTTCAAAAAACGGATTTAGTAGGTATCTAGAATGCTCTACCCAACTACAATGGAACGCACATGCTTCTCAGCAGCATATGGGACTTCTACCAAAATAGAACACACAGTAGACCACAAAACCTGCTTAGAAATGCACAACAATAGAAGTCACTCCATTGTTATTATCAGACCATTGTTCACTGAAACTAGAAGCCAATCACAGAAAAAACCAGAGATAATCTATGAATAAGGAATAAATATACTCCTGCACATCCAGTGGGTCACACAAGAAATCCAGGAAGAAGTTAAACAATTTCTGAAATTAAATTGTAATGCTAGCCTGACTATGACCTGTGGGACACAATGAGAGCAGCCCTAAGTGGGAAGCTTATTGAAATTAATGCCCACATTAGAAAAACAGAGGAAGCTGAGGCCATGATGTAATGGCGAACCTAAAGATAAAAAGCAACAGCAATCCTCACCCAAGCCGAATTTAATAAGGACAGCCATAAATGTCAGAGCAGAAATTAATGAATTGAAACAAAAATGACAAATGAAGAGCTGCTTTTCTAAAAAAGAATAAATAAAATAGATAAATCCTTAGCCAAACTTACCAAAGCAGGAAAAGATTCATATCAAA